TACTCTGACTCCGAAACTATGCAAAACAGTGTATGGAAATATCTTACGCATGTTTAGGTGCAAGACAAAAGGATTGGTACATATGAAAGACATGTCAACTTGAAAGAAAAGGGCCACACTGCTTAATCTGCCAAAATTTGATGTTTTTAAATAGTTAAAGTTTTTGTAGTTTAGGGTTTTAACATACATTTTTCATTAAACAAAATGTTTTTTAATAGAGGGAGGGATTCTATTCACAATGGGTCATAGTTATGTACATATTGTTTGGAGAAAAGTATAAACGCTAATGATAAATAGATAAGATCGCAAATATTCTAAAACAATTGTATTTATGTGGGATTAATGAATATTTTATATAACTACCTATGTATGTGAAGTGGTGGTATGAAGCAGGTGTAAGGATTGCAATGTTTAGTTAGGAAATAGTCGCTCTCTGGCAAGGCATGTATATAGTTACAGATAACAATTAACATCTGTTTAAATCATAAAATTGTATAAGGTGTGAAGTACGAGCACAGATGAGCTCAGTGCCTGCACCTTCAGTGGTTCAAGGGGAGGGAACTAGAATGGGAATTGGAAAGTTGATGTTTCTGTCAGAAATGTGACAAATATGTAAAAGTAACATGTTATCAATGACCAACAAGGCATTTATATAAAATGTGTTGTGAAATTGTCATTGCACTATACCTGAATATACTGTATGTTTTTACAAAGATTGTACGATCGCTGTTTTTCATACTATAATAATAATAATTAGAATATGATAAGAAGAACTATGCATTTTAATACATGCATGTTATTAGGATGTTGGCACCTTAAAAATCCCATCTATAAATATTTAAACTCAATTAACTTGATCCCAGTCACCATACAACACGGGCTGTAAAAGCAAGTGAACAATAAAGGTTTTAGTAGGTTTAGTTCCCAAACCTTTGACCTTCAGAAGGGTCGATGCAGGCAGTTCTAACTGAAAACAGGAGCAGACTGCATCCACAAGGATAGAAATCGTGTCCTTTAGCTTAGGGGGAAACGTCAGAAGATGGGTCCTCTTCCTGGGAGGACTCCTGAGAAAAGGAAACCATTACTTTCAATACCTCTTCCTCAGGTAGTACAAACGTAGGCAGAGGACAGTCAGAGGGGATCTCTGAGGGAGCAAGATAGGGGGGCCTACTTGCAGTCCCTGCAGCCAGAAGTTTTAAAGAGATCAGCTATCTTCCCTATAAAATCTGCCATAACAGTGATGCATTTTTCTCTAGATAACAAATCTGAGGGGGGTGCCCCAGAGCTAGCAGAGTAGGACCCTGATTATAACTGTGAAGGGGACAGGGAGGACAGCGTCAGAATAACAGCGTTTGGGTCCCTGTGACGGTACAAACCTTGCCAGGCCCCCTACCCTTGCCTAGCCCCCTACCCATCTATTATTTATAGTATACACAAACTTTTTTTTTTTACAACTCTAGCTTTTTAGCACTGTGCTTATTTATTGATTATTTAATAAACAAGTGGTTAATAATTTGGAGCGTGCGAAGACACAGAACACATTGTCTAGGATAGATTTAGTTTTGTGTTCAGCTGAATCGGTTGAGATACAACCAAGATCACTATCAGATCATTCACCAATAATCACTACAATTGAAATGGGGGAAAGCTTTTTTAGATTGCTCTGGAAATTAAATCCGGGATGGTTAATTATACTATCAGCACAGGAGAAGTTAGAAATTGAGATATCAATGTTTTTGAGCACTAATATTAAATTCTGCGTCACATGGGGTAGTATGGGATTCTTTAAAAAGCATATATGAGGGGATATGTATGTCAGCAGATTAGTAGGACGAGGAGGCAATAGAATAGGGAGGAGGAAGAGGCTCGTAAAGAAGCGACTCGTTTAGAGACGCAGTTTGTGTTAAATCCTAATGTAACAGCTTGTGATGAGTGGATTGCTGCACAAGAACAACTGAAGCATATTGAAAATAAGAAAGCAAAAAATAAAATTATTCTTTAGGAATCAAAAGTACTGGGAGGAGGGAGAGAGTTCTGGAAGACTGCTGGCACAGTTGGTGAAGGTACAAGAGCAAGTTCCGTTTGTAAATGTGTTGAAGGATACGGATGGCCAATTGTGCGGCGGGTCCGACAGGGTTCTCTCAATCTTCAAACAGTATTATGAAGGGGTCTATACCACTAGAGCAACCTATAGCAGTGTAGATCTGGAAAGCTATATAGGTAATATCCCATTTAATACGTTATCCCAGGCTGACAGGGATAGTCTGGAAACCCCTCTTACTATTCAAGAATTAGAGGAAGCCGTGGCTAGTTTTCTAAAGGGGAAAGCTCCGGGTTGGGATGGGTTACCAATAGAGATATATGAGAAATATGCATCTGCTTTGCTCCCGGTGTTGTTACAAACTTTTGAGGAAGCTTTAGAAATAGGGAAACTACCCGAATCAATGTATATGGCTGCAATTATTCTCTTACAAAAAAAGGGGAAGGATGCATTGCTGCCGGAGTCATATAGGCCTATATCTTTGCTGGGATCTGATGTTAAGATTTTGGCAAAAGTTCTGGCGAACAGACTATCTAAGGTTATTCAGAAGGTAATAAACTTGGATCAAAGTGGATTTTGCCAAAGCATTTGATAGTGTGGAATGGGATTATCTATGGGAAATATTAAGAGCATTTGGGGTTGGCCCCCGATATATTTCATATATTCAACTACTATACGCCAATCCTTTGGCTAAAATACAAGTAAATAAAGCCCTTTCCCCAGCTTTTAAATTGATGAGGGGGACTAGACAGTCTCCCTGTCATTTGCACTATCGATAGAACCGTTAGCTAATTTAATAAGAAATTCAGATAAGATAGTGGGGTTTAAGCGGGGTTAGGCAGAGGATAAGGTACTACTATATGCAGATGATACAGTGGTCCTTTTGGCTGATACTAATCACTCTCTATTAGAGGTAATGTCTCAACTTCTGGAATTTGGTAGGTTCTCAGGGCTATGTGTCAACTGGGGAAAATCCATGTTACTTCCGATTGATTCTCTTCCATGTCCACGGCCGATGCAAACTCAGCATATACAAATAGTGGAATCATTTGTTTTTTTGGGTGTAAGGATTAGAGTAAACATTGAGGCATATCTAGAAGATAATTTAATATCAATTTTGCAGAAATTTCAGAAACAATGCAATGTATGGTGTAAACTCCCCCTTTCACCGGTTGGCAGATTAAATCTTATCAAAATGATTTGGATGCCTCAGCTCTCCTATATGCTGTACAATTCTCCATGCTGGATTCCTCAAACTATATTCAGGAGGATAAATACAGTATTTAGGGAGCTGATATGGAAGAAGAAACAAGCACGGATAAAACTAGAAATCTTGCAATATCCTAAGAGAACCGGGGGTTTGGCACTTCCAAATCCATGGATAATGTTTTTGGCCACACAGTTTAGACACCTGGCGGGATGGAACTTGCCAGGACAGAGGATAGGGGCATATGATATTATTAAGGCATATGATATTATTAAATGTCTGTTTTACAATAGGGACCCCCTTATGGCCCTTGAAACTACTCTGTATTTGAGGGAATTTTCAAATCTTCCCACTTTAAGATTAATTGGATAAATGTGGAAGCCCATTAAGGGGTATTGGATATTTCTGACTGTACAAAATACACTCTGATATGAGATAATGGGGTACTGCACGAGGTAAACAAACTTCAGGGATTTGGAATATGGAAGGAAATGGGGATTGCATCATTGATGCAAATTTATGATCAGGGTATTTTGTGCTCGTTTCAACAGTTACAGGCAAGTTATTCGCTACCGAATGCTCAATTTTATAAATACCTGCAACTAAGGCATGCGCTCACGGCACATCCAGGTGTACGGGAGATCTGTATTAATGTAAATGTGGTTATAGATACATTTTTTGATACAACAGAGACGAGAGGTTTGATCTCAAAGATGTATGCAAATTTACTACCTGGTTCCTGAATAAATCTCCCATGAAATGTAAAGTGGGCTGGGAGATGGACTTGGGGCCGCTGGATGAAGCCCTCTGGAGTGAGGCGTTGTTGTCAATCCAATTAGTTTCACCATCTGCATCGCATAAATTGACGCAGCTTTATATTGTACATAGAACATATCGGACCCCTGAATTCCTACATAGGATAGGATTCAGGGAAAATTCTAAATGTCCAAAGTGTGGGGTTGAACCTGGTTCCTTAATGCATCTGCTGTGGCTATGCCCGAAGCTGAAACGATATTGGCAGGAAATAGTGGACATAATAAATATAGCCTTTGGAGTCCATATTTCTAATAATCCCTTGTTATGTATCCTGGGTATTTTTGGACCCACAAAGGTGGAATATTACACAAAGGTGGCAATAACAAGGGCTCTATTTGTAGCTCGTCGTAGTATAGCCCTTAGGTGGATTTCAGCAGCGCCTCCCACAGTAGAGGAGTAGAAGAAAGAACTAGATAAAGTCGTTAGATTTGAGGGAATTATGTTCAAGCACAGAGGTACTATGGACAAATATGGTAAAATGTGGGATAAGTGGATTGAATATGGTTAAGGACCCTGGATATAACATCTCTCGTATAATATTTCTCCTATTTATTATTGGTATTTTGAGGAGTAACGTGGCTTAAGAAATATGGTATGTTGAGAGGAAAATTAATTTTATAAGGAGAGGTTTTTTTTTTTTTGTGTGGGTTTGTAGGTATTGTCATTTGTTCTGTATTGCTGTTTTAATATGCAATTATGGATGTATAAGTCTGTTCTATGTATTGTATTACCAAAATAAAAAAAAAAGTATTGAATTAAAAAAAAAAATTATAATTTGGAGCGCGGCTTCTTTCTTCTGGCATGAGTTTAGCTCAATATTTACTATATCTTTTTAGAGCGGTGCTTTATTAAATTTTTAATACAAATGCATGGTTATTGATTTGAAGTGTGTCTTCTATCATTCATTTGACATAAGCTTAGCTACCGTTGACATACCAGTGCCTTCACTCAGCATAGATCCTCCATAAATATCCAGTGCTAGCTGGGAATAGGCATATCCAAATGCAATGATAAAAAGACCAATCAGGGTCACTAATTTCAGAAGTGACTCCAGGACTGCGGATGCTGTAGAAATCTCTTCCTACAAAAGAAGATAAAGTAAACTTTTAGAACAAAAATACCCACCATGTACTAAAAATTAAATAAATGGAAAAGATTAATATCACAAACTATGGAGTTGACAGTCTGAAGAAGAAAATAGATACAGATAAAAAATCAAGAAAATAATACAAACTCTGAAAACTAGGGTTGCACAGACATTAAGTACAGTACTTGGTACAAGTACGAGTACATGTACCGATACTTTTGAGCTCCAAGACTAGACTAGAGAAAAATTCAAGAGTTAGGAGGCAGCCGTCATTTGTAAGGAGCACACGGAGCTCCTGGGATTTGTACATCTCTGTTTTAATGTACAATTTTGTTTTTATAAATATAAATAAAGGGATGCACAGATACCAGTACTTGCCGAGTACTTACAAGTATGAGTACTGATACATTTTTGTTTATTGTCATGTGACAGTTTTTCTAAAACAATACAGACTAATGATTTCAGGACAGCGGTGGAGTGCCAGAGCCAGGTCCCAGCTGCAACTCTGGTAGTTCTCATGAAAATGCCAAGTATCTGCACTGGTACTCGAAAAATATCTGTGCATCCCTACTGAAAACCATGAAAAAACTGGCTGCAGCTTCCAAATTCCCATACCCCTTCCATACCTCTGGGGCAGCAGGGGCCCAGCATGAATATCCCGATAAATGAAAAATAATTACACAGCGCTAATTAAACTAAAGTGAATACATGTGCATGCACCAAAATTAGTGTAAATTTATAGACTCATACGTGACTATCATATGTGATCAAAGTTCATGAATGTTAATTCAGTGTTTTCCATATAAAAGTGAATAACGCAAAAATAAAAACTTACATACACTTAGCGTGCTGAAATCTATCGTAAGTGACAAAAATTGTGTGAACAGATTATGAAGAATTAATTATAAATGTGAATATGAATTTCTCTGTGATCAAAATAAATGTATCAATTTGAAACTATAAGTGATGTATTCCTATGATAAAGGATGTATTTTCCGTGATTGTTTATGTGCAAAACTTCAACACACAAAGTCTTTTTTTTAATAAAGAAGTTGGTTAATAAAACATTTATGCAATATTGAAAAAGTCTCTGTGATGTTTATCACTCCATTCCACGTGAAAAAATAAAAAATATAATAAAATTGTTCCAAATGTTCGGTGATGTGCACTCAGTCCTTAGTTTGGGGAGTGCAAAAAACAGAGAGAGGTACTTCATAGTGTAGTAAAAGATGGTTTATTCGTATAGTTAAATTTAAAAACCAGGAGGCAATAAAACGAGACCGACCGGTTCGGCACCTATCAGGTTTGGTATGAGATGACCCGCCCCTACGCGTTTCGTCATCAATGACGTCCTCAGGGGAGCATGCAGGACCTGTTAAATTTATAGGACCTGCATGCAGAATTGGCATGCTCTAACTGGAGAATCGAGTGTGGAGAAGTTGCCGACAAAACAAACCGAACTATCCTACTCCGGTAAAAACAAACGTGTGGGTCTGTCTGTTACAGCCGGATACCTGGGGTGAGTACACACCTTGAGGGGAATGGTATTGATCTCAACACACTCTCCAAACTAAGGACTGAGTGCACATCACCAAACATTTGGAACAATTTTATTATATTTTTTATTATTTATTTTTTCACGTGGAATGGAGTGATAAACATCACAGAGACTTTTTCAATATTGAATAAATGTTTTAATAACCAACTTCTTTATAAAAAAAAAAGTCTTTGCTTGTTGAAGTTTTGCACATAACCAATCACGGAAAATACATCCTTTATCATAGGAATACATCACTTATAGTTTCAAATTGATACATTTATTTTGATAACAGAGAAATTCATATTCACATTTATAATGAATTATTCATATTCTGTTCACACAATTTTTGTCACTTACGATTGATTTCAGCACGCTAAGTGTATGTAAGTTTTTATTTTTGCGTTATTCACTTGTATATGGAAAACACTGAATTAACATTCATGAACTTTGATCACATATGGTAGTCACGTATGAGTCGATAAATTTACACTAATTTTGGTGTATATATACACATGTATTCATTTTAGTTTAATTAGCGCTGTGTAATAATTTTTCATTTATCTATTAGATCCTACGGATCTATATCGCAGCAGCTTTGGTTTAAATACCTCACTTATTTAATTGGTATAGCTGTAGATTCGTTGGAAATATTAGCACTGCCCATTCAGTTAAAACTATGAATATCCCGATGCCTGACATTGGAACCCACAGTGCTATCACAAATATTATTTTAAGTTATGGGGAGTACATTCCATTCTAACATCGTGGAGAGAGAAAGGCAAGATAGAGCAAATCCACAGTCAGTCAGTCAGCACCTTCCAATCAGTCTCACCAATGTGCCCTGCACATTAGTCTTAAATCTTGCAAGAGAAAGACTCGCCACTTTTGAAATAACATTTTCGTACGAGTAGAACTATTCAGCTTGGCATCTAGTCTCTCCACATTAGGATATGAAAGAGTATGGGGGGGTGCAGCCAACGGAACATAAGTTCACGTTAAGCTAGCAATAGGTAGTTGTGAATCCAGGTTGTCTTGGTTTTGGAGAAATTATTGGGTGGAGACCAGACCTTAAACAGGCAGATCCATTAGTCTTTCTTAACCCCTTCGTGACTGACGACGTACAGTGTACGTCGCCAGCATCGGGGCTGTTTAAACAGACTCCCATACATTCTGTATCCGGTTCAGGTAAGCTGTGATATTAGAGACATGTGCACATTCCCATAAACATTGTTCCAATGTGGCCACATTTAGGAAAATGTTACAGGTATGGAGCTCCAATCTTATAAAAGAAGGCAAAGGCATAAATAAGCTCTCAATTGTGTTTCTTTCCAGACCTTATAAGGAGTACTATTGAACACTGTCAGGTAACCCTGTAGAAGCTTTTCACAAATATCATCTGTAGGGAAAGACTTACACCACTTATTGATTGGAGATTTAACCAACAGGACAGTGAACTTGGCATTAAGTTGGGGATACAGGCATGATATGGAATATGTGGCTTTTCATATGTATATTTTTTTACAGGTAAGTGGGTGTCTGTGTTTCTCTTCCAGTGATGCATAGGATGAGAGTAACATAAAAAGTGGTTTGTCGATAGATTATATTAATACTAAGGGGGTATGAGTGGACACATCAGAGAGATGTTGAATGTTGGAGACTCCCCGGCATTCCCAGTGAACAGAGCCTTGATGTTCATTACCCTGAGGGAATTAAGAATTGCCTCTAATAGGAACATAGGGCAAGATGTAGCAATGGGAGTAAAATTTGAGCCTACCCTCTTGTCCTGCTACCACAGTATCCCTAAAACACTGTTTTTCTTAAGCTGAGGTGGCTTCTTAGGCATCCAAGTATGTAACAGAGCAGTTAAACTCCATGGTTTGGCTATCTCCGCTTCTACGGGTGTATTGGAATAGAACCCCTAAAACCAAGAGAGCATATCATAGAAGACACACAATATTATAAGCTGTTATATTTGGGAAGTTTAGTCTACCCTCCAGCTTAGAGACCATAAGCCTCCTTAGAGCTATGTGTGGGCACTTCGATTTTCAAAAAAACTTCACAAAAGGTAATGGCACCCCAAACGTGGCCCGCAAATTGCGCGGTTTTACACAGCATTTCTGCGTGTTCAAACGTTGCAGAAAAAAAAGCACATCCGGTGCATTGCACAAAAAAGTACAGGATACATGGATATGACCCTATTGAAATCAATGGGACCATGCGGCAAACGCACACGAGCGTGCGTTTTCAGGAATGCCGCAGAAATGAACCAGGCCTAAAAGAAAACATTTTCTCTAATTTTTGACACCTCAATTCCTTAAAACGTACACTGCAATTACAAATGGGTACAACTTTCCTACTTGCTCAAGTTCCTATAATTCCCAAAGACCCAAATGTGTGTAATAATCTGGCTATGTAAGGATTCACTAAATGGTTCATGATAAAAGTTTTGATTTCAGAACAGCTGTTCCCCAACCAAAAATCTCCAATTGAGTAGATGCCGACTGTCCTCTTTTCTGTGGAGATGGGAATGAGACCATAACCACAAGTATTCCCTTCCAACTGTCATACAGGTCAGAAAGAACACAATCATTCCAAGTGGAGGGTAGGTTTGATTAGGGGTGGCTGGATTTCTTACTATTCTAGCTGAAGCTTGCAGCTGAAATTGGAAATGGCTGGGTCTAGTAAGAAAATTTTGGCTTACTGCGACTCACCTTCCTCTGACTCCTAAAATTTTTTCCTCTTTCCAGAACTTTTGAGAAATACACATAGAAGCTCTCTTCTATAGGTAAGAAGATAAATCGTGCCACAAGCGAGCCCAAATTATTCACAATGTCATACACTCCTAAAGACAGAACAGAAGAGAGATTAATGCATCCAGCTTATACAAAAGTAGTGATGTTAAAAAGTCTGTACTACTGTAAATTGTATAACGCTCTTACATATGTTTGTTGTCCTTGCTCTATAAAATATTAAAACAAACACATAAAATAACAAAGGTTAATACTAATTACCCATACACCATTTACAGTTTATGCACTGCTTTCTTCATGGTATTTAAAATGTAATTTGTTCCTCGTATATGGAGGGAGATACTGCGGGCTTTGAAGGGAGGGAGGTCTAGAGGCGCATGAAATGCAGAAATATTATCAAGCCTTGTAGTATTGTGATGTGTCACCTGCACTCCTTACAGAAGGGATGGCCAAACTCCAGCTGTGGTGAAACAACAAATATCATGAAGCATCTCTCTCCGGGAGTCATGTCTGTGGCTGTGAGAATCTTGCAAAGCCTCATGGGATTCGTAGTTCCACCACAGCTGGAGGGCCGCAGTTTGGCCATCCCTGCCTTACAGCGATGGGACCTTGATTAAAGGAGAACTTTGAGGTTAGGGCTTTTCCCTATAGTTCTCCTAAGACACAAACTAGCAACCTCCCATCACCCAAAACTCAGTATACCACGAGATACAGCTTGCAGTATACTCAGACGCCGCAGTCGGCACGGATCCTGACAATTCTGTCTGGATCCACCCAGCTGCGTGAGTGACAGCTGGCTCTGCCTATCTACAGGCAGAGCCAGCTGTACCCGCCCCCGTTAGCGCTGGCGGATCGGACAGGGGGGAAATCCCTGCATGGAGCTGTGAGTGACAGTCACGGCTCTCTGCAGGGATAGATCGAGAAGTGAGCGAGCGCCGGCGTGTGTTCGCTCACTTCCCTATCTACTGAGCCGACCTGTGACAGTTTCATTGTCACAGGTCGTCTCAGATTATGAGGCTGAGTGACAATCACTCACCTCATTATTCTCCTTTAATGGTCGTGGTGCTCGTAGTGATTACACAGATAGGGTCATGTTTTCCAAAATTGTAGAAGAAAGAGATCAGCAGCACTCAGTCAAAAGCATTCAATTCTTTTGCTTATTCATTGAAGAAACATATCACAAGCGTCAATTAACCAACGTTTTGGGGCCACGCAGGGTCTCTTCTTCAAGGTGACATAGTCACTATTAATTATCAATATTTTGTACAAGTGTGTCTTGAAGAAACAAAACTTTATTAGCTGTTGAACAAGACAGCCGTTCCACTCTGTGTCACGGATCCGGCTTCACCCCATTCAGCTTGGTCCTGTTGCTGGTAGGGCACAGGTCAGGTGCCGGGGACTCTGGTGTCTTCCTGTCCTCCACTGTGATGTAAGATCGATTTATGGGACATCGTTGTGAGAACCTATTAAAAAAAGACGCTGGGACATCGGGATCTACCAGTGTGTGTTTTGGGGCTAATATACTACAATATTGTGGTAAGTGTGCACTCTTGAGGGGGTGTTGGTGTTTGACACAAACACGAGCTTTGGAAGGATCATCAATCACTCATTTGGGATTGTTTTATATACACGGTGGATACAATAGTATTTATTTTCACTTAAGGACTGATCACTTTGGATACGCTATATGGTGTTTGGACTGAAGGACTTCCAGAGATTTGTATATACCGTATTTTTCGCTCCATATGACGCACTCCAAAAGGAGGGGGGAAATGTGCGTGCGTCTTATGGAGGGAATCCCGATGCCCGAGACATGCAGTTTCAGGCGCCGGGCGAGTATTTGTTTGTACATTTAGCCCTGCTAAAGCAGAGCTAAATGTACAGTAGGAGCCACTGCTTGTTTAATAGAAGTGATATGATTAGATCACTTGTATTAAAACCGAGCAGCGGCGACGGCGGCAGTGATCGAGATCACCATAGAGCAGACGAAGAACGGACGTTCTTCGGCTGCTCTGTGTGATCACTGAGACCGAGATGCTGTAATCACAGCGCCACCTGTCTCAGGGGTCACTAACTGCAGCTTCTGTCACAGTTACCAATTGGACCCATAGCGCTGCATATTTATTTTCATTCACTATTAATTATCAAGCCTGTCATATGGTGTGTCTGGTAGATTGGCATTTACATTCTCATACAAAAGCCTGGATAGTGATGGAACAGGGGTGTACTTCTCAACAACTACTCTACATCCCATGGGCCTTCAATCCATTAGGCTCTGTGTCTGTAACCACCCATCCTCTCATAGGAGCTACCTTAAAAACCTTTAGGCTTTTATGAAAACACCCAAACTTTCCAACATGTCTTGGACCCCTTACGCCTTTGAGGGCTACGAGAGAATTTCCTCCGGGTAATACTGCTGAATTTCTCCCATTACTGGAAAAAGGACTGTTGACTGTGGACATTTTCTTTGAGAAGTTAGGGCACTGGTCGGTCTCTGTCAATCTGCCCTGGTGGATTTACTTCCAGGTCAGACATTTTCTATTGGATTCTTTTGAAAAGATCTGCTCAAAGGCCCACAGACCCAACTGAAAAAAAAAAGAAGGTCGGTGTAGTTCTCGAACCCAGTAACCCAACTATAAGTATCTACCGTTCTGGTATAGAACACTGGCCATCTTTCATAGATGTGACCCCCACGTTCCCCAGGTATGTTGGAGGTGTAAAAGTGGTGAAGGGACACAAACGCATATTTTTTTGGTTTTGCCCAGAAATCCAAACATTTTAGAGGAAAATACATTCTATGGTGGTAGACATCACAAGCTGTGCGATTCCCTACAGCCCAGCAATGCACCACACCTTAACAAGTCCAATGTCATCCTCCTCTAAATCACTAGTAAAATATTTGATTAATGCTGTCTGCACCGTTATTCTGAGGCACTGGAGATCAGAATCCATCCTATCTTTGAAAGAGTGGCTGGATTATGTGGACTATGTCCATTAAATGGAATCTATTCTACATGCAAAACAGGATAGGCTCACACATTTCAATGACGTATGGTTCCCTTGGTTGGTGTTCCAAGAAAGTACAACTTAAAATACATACAACTAGAAGGTTAATGGAACAGTGTATAATTTTCTCTGGAAGGATGTGGGTATAGTATCTGGTAAAGTTTGGTCCCTGTGGTACTATATATTCCAGACATATCGTTAATTTAGTATTTTTACTTTTATCTATTTCTCCTACTATGATCTGTACTTTTCCTTCTTAAAATTAAAAAATTAAAATTGAAATAATGTGATACAATGTGTAAAAAGTGCAAATCAAAGAAGAAACCCATGTGTATAAGATGCACCTCAGTGTAAATACATTGCTACAGAATATCCATAATGAAAAATCAAATAAATAGATATTGGCTGTGAAACAATGTGAAAATCATAACAACTAGAAAAAACGCATGTGTATAACATGCACTTCATGCCATGTGATAAAACCTCTAGAAGGAATACTACGAGGTAGGGCTGCGGAAATTAACGATGAATTACTCGATTAATCGTTAAAATTTTTGATCGTTCAAAGGAATTTTAATCAGTAATAAAAACATCCACCTCTCCACCGGCTTCCGGGAGTCCCATCGGAGATCCGGTGACGTCACGGACATTGACGTCACTGGACTCCTCACCCCTTCCCCAAGTGGCTCCGTCGGCTAACGATGTCTGTGACGTCACCGGACTCCTCCCCCCTTACCTTCGTTAGCTGACGGAGCCACTTGGGCCGGTGATCTGTCGACACTGAGAACTGAGGAGTTCTGCGAACGCCTGACTTCCGGTTTCGTTACAACTAAGAGGTTTGCCCAAGAAAGTTGTTCTGCACGAGCGACAGCCAAGGCATTGGCCTATACACATACAGCACAGCAATGAAGTAATAAAATAAACTACGATCACACTAATCCAGCACGGTATTATTCTGAGTTGCCTCACTCAAGCGGCGGCCATATTGAGTGGGGCACGTGAGATTAATAACGTGCTGGATTAGTGTGATCCTAGTTCATTTTATTACTTAATTGCTGTGCTGTATGTGTATAGGCCAATGTAGTTGGATCTGTATGTGCGTTATAATTAATCGAAATTAGTCGATGAAAAAAAAATTAGATTAATCGAACACAAACATTTTAATCAGTACCAGCCCTACAATGAGGGCATCTTCTTCTAAGGGATAATATGAACTGATCCTGTCCAGAGAAACTAAATAAACCCTATAGGTGAATACAACTAGGTGAGTCCCTTTATGAACAAATGTGACGTGTCACAAATCGTGAACTCCCAAATAATAAGGGGTAAAACCCCCATGTTTAAACAAAACAAAGTGAACTGACAAAGGGATTGTAATCACTTTGCTTATCACATAAACAATTAATATAAGTAGTCTTAAAACCCATGCGAGAACAAGAATGAGGGTATTAATGAACCATCTGCACTACGAGTTTCCACTTTTTATTTGATGCATGAGCCATTTGGATGAATTGTCTGCTTTCAACTCCTGAACTCCTGAGACTGCAAGAGAGTCCGTACCTGAGAGGAGGAAATCACTGGGAGGTGTTCGGCATCAGGTGCTTCCTCTACCTGGTTTGAATTAGAGGAACGGCGCATGCAGACCCTGGTGGGTCTCTGCTAAAGGTGAGGTGCACACCAGAAGATTTCTCTGTTGATGGTCACAGGAGACTGAGATTATTTTACATCCAATGTTTTATCTTCTATTTTCCTAATGGACTATTGAAGATCCAGGATAATGGACATTTTTTAACCATTTATAATTTTCACAAAGTGCATGTTATACACATGCTTTTTTTCTAGTTGTTATTCTTTTCACATTGAATCACATTGTTTCACAAAATGACAATTTATGTATATCCCTATTTGTAAATAAACCCAACCCTTATGCAAGATTCAGTTGTCCGTCATTAAATCAAGGCACTCCAAAACAGCACATTCTACAGATGCTACGGTTGTAAACAAATTTTTGTTTCTTCTGATCCCACACAACTTGTATTATGGTATGCTTTTCAAACAGACGACAGTAAAATCTTTGTTTACATTT